GTCTCTTTGGCCAGCTGCCGCAAAACAGGCATATTTCGGTTGATGCCCGTGGTGGTGTTCTCCACTATGGATCCTCCTCCTGCTTTACGGTAACACAACAGCTCTTCCTTCACCGCCTCGATCTCTTGATTCAACAGCAGGTTCTCATGGTGGCTGTACGGATTCTGCTGCAACCAGTGAAGGTGCTTCATCTCAATGGGAGCTGCGGCAAGGCCCTCGTCTCCAGGTGCTGGGGAAACGTGGCTGCACTCAAACGTCATTGTAAGGTGTTCGTGGGTCATGGTGCGGCCCAGCTGATCGGGCTCTATCAGACCCAGCACCGTCTGGACCTTACCGCTCTGTTCAGGCATGGTTCTGCGATCCTGTCCAACAAATAGTTACAGTTAGTAAAATAAATAGGGTTGCTAAGCACTGTTTATGTTGCACTGGCAACACAGATGTGTGCAGTCTGTGATATTATTACAATCCATGCACACATAGTTGAAAGAATAAAAATTATTTAAATGTCTTTTTTAACTTATCTCTCCATTTTTACTAAGAAAGAAATAATTGCATGCTTGAAGAAGACGAAGTGCATGCTTGGCTGCTGTAAAACTGTAGGCTGCTGTACAAATGACTCATCTTGGCTGTCCACCACCACGCCTGGGTGGTTAGGACTTTGCGCTGATTGAAGAATATAGACTGAGTTCCAAATACGGTATGCATAAGTAAATTAACTTGCAATGCATGCAAACAAATGCATGTATTAAGATGCATGCTCGTGCCGTCGAGATTATTAATAGTTCAGTATATACAGAATATCCGCGCAACCGTATTCACATCAGACAACAAGCATATATGATTGAGATTCTGAAATTAGACAGAACTGACGTTACAGACTGCGAGACGTCCTCAATAACAATCGTTTAAAAAGTTCACCACAACAGGCGATACGCATGCAATGTTACTAGCTGTTATTTTTAAATCACACAAGGTGATGCAGTTAGTGACTCATAATAAACAATAAAAGATACCGTGAGAAGCAAGACCTGCAAGCAAGTTCAACTTCCAATTTGCAGCACTGAGCGGAGCAACAAGGTCTCGCGATTTTATGTGTAACTTATATCGCGAGACTTGACGTTACCTCTACCTCTACAATTAAACGTGTTCAAAGCGAAATAATGAAATTAATAAACAATCAAATGTTTAAGAACGAATGCGGTACCTCTAATTCGAAGATGTGGATAAATTTAGATAGTTCGCCTGTTTTTAAACCTCGAGTCGCTTTTGCCACGCCCCTTTCTGTTCACTGACGTCTATGAGAGGTGAACTTTATTATGTAAGGACTCTTTGTGGAAATCGGGATTTGGAAAATACACCCTCACTCAAGTGAGTGCCCTAAGCAAATACAGCCTGTTATTATGAAACAGAACATTTGGAAACTATGAGGCCGAAAATCCAGTACTATTTTTGTGATAGGTTATATAGCCTATGAAATGTTTCAACAATAATTGCTGTGTTTCCATGTGAGTCCATGGTGGAAAAAACAGCTTTAACTT